GGGTTAGATGAAAGGGCGGAGAGCCCCAGAAAGCAAGAATCAGAATCAAACAAAATAAGATTTTATGAACCCCCCGCAAACATAAGCAAACATGTCAAAGTGGCATGGGTACAGACTTCCCAGGACATCATGCAACCGTGGAAACACAGGAAACTGACATGCTAGGTGACCCTGGGGGAGCTCTGCCCCCAGCTTCTGACCAGAGGAAATCGCAGCTCCCTCCTGGCTCTCTCGTTCTCTGTCTTATCCACTCTTCTCTTTCTCCAAAGTAGGGGCTTGGGGAATCAAAACAACCTGGGTGTCATTCTAGACTCCTCATATGCTAGTTGTATAAAGTTGAATAAGTTATTAACCTTTCGCTGAGTCTCATACCCTCATCCAAAAAATGAGAAATAAACAAAACTTCTGCAGTGCAGTTGGCAGGAATAACAACATCAATGATCACTTCACAGAGCCACGCAGAGCGCCACACAGCACTGAGCTTCACATTCTCGCCATGCACAGGAATTAACTGGGAGCTTCCAAACATGCTGAAGCCTGGAGGGCACCCCAGAGCATCTGATATAGTCAGTTTGGGGTGATGAAGCCTCAGAAATGTTAAAGCTCTCCAGGTGGTTCTAAAGTGCAGCCAAGGTTGAGAACTGTTGCTCTATGCAGATGAACTCACTGGAGCCACACAATTACCCTGTGAATGCAGCACAACTGCTCCCTCCCTCCAACTTCCCCCATTTTTACAGATACGGAAATTAAGGTGTAGAATTACTCAAGGGTAAAGAGTCAGTGGGGTATAGAGCTGTGATTTGAATCCACACAGTATGACTGCCGGGGACTCACACATCAAGTCACACTGCTGGGCTCCACCTGCTGAATGTGAAGAAACAAGATGGTTTCCAGCCTTCGAAGAGGCTCCTGGAGACTTCGCATCTTTTATGTTTACCTGGATGGAGCTGGAACATGTGCTTCTTAGTGAAGTATCTCAAGAACGGAAAGAAAAGTACCCAATGGACTCAATACTATTGTGAAACCAACATATAAACACCTACACATTCATGCAAATGATAAAACACAAATATAGTCCAGAAAGAAAGAGGAGAGGAGAAGAGGGCAGCGGGGAGGGTATTTGGTGGACCTCACCTAATGTGCACAATGCAAGGGTACACGTCACAACAACTAAGAGGATGTTAGAAATGTCTTACCACAAAAAATAAGTAAGATGATGGTTATGTTAATCAGTTTAAGCATTCCATGTTGTATACAGATTATACATTGTGCCCCATAAATGTATACAGTTATGATTTAATAAAAATTAAGTAAAAAATAAAAAAGAAGATGCTCCAAATTGGGGATCTAATTTTGTTCATCACTTTTTAGCTTCCCTCCCCCCCATTCTCTGCTCTTCACAATCCCCAGCCAAAAATATTACTAGGAGTTAAGTAGGAATGAGCAATGGATACGATTTAGAAACGTGGGCAAAATGGATCTAGAAAAAAATTATTTCTTCCTCCTCTTCTCCTTCCTAAAACCTGGGCATGAACATATACTTCTTTTACATCTAAAATAGTTTAAAATAATGTTTACCTGGATGGACTTGAAATACATTCTTCTTAGCAAAGTATCTCAAGTATTTTGGGGGGGGGGATATCCAATGTGCTCTCAATACTAATATGAAACCAATATACAAACAATTACACACCCACATGAATGATAAAACACAAATATAGTCTAGCAAGGGAGAGAGGAGAAGGGGGGGGGAGGGAGAAGGAGGAGGGAGAGCGATGGATGGGATGTCACCTAAGGTGCATAATGTCAGGGTGTTCAGCCCACCCCCTGGGAAAAGGGCTCAACTACAACTTGAACTTTGCTTTAGAATTGAAAACAATGTAACCTAAAAATTGTACCCTCCTATTAACTTGAACTAAAACCTATCTTTTAAAATAATTATTACAGATACCGAAAATATCTGAACCCGAGCAGTAATTTTTCTACCATCCCTTATCAAGTTTAAGCCAAGACTTTCATTTGCCATACATCAACTTCCAGGCCATGTCCATGAGCATATATTGGTTTTTTTTTTGTTTACATTATCATAATATAATTATATATTCAAATTAGTCTGTTCACATGATGTCATACATATTTTTCCAGAAGATTTGTCTTATAACTCAATTAAGTAGCCTGGTATAGCTCTATTAGATAATATAGGTAATTTTACCATTAATTAGGCCTGAAATATTTTCATGAAAAGTTTCCCCCTAAGGGGAAAAAAAAAAAACATTTAGCCTGGTTATTCTGAAAGCTAATATCCAAATCTGTAAGCTTGTAAAGTCACACGACAGGACGTTTGTTGTGTGCTCCTCGGTGCCCACCCACCCTACCCTGCTCCTGGCCCAAAGTAGGAGCTCAACAAATCCTTGATGCATGAACAAATGATACTTTTCTTGGCACTGCAATGAAGTTATAAAATCAGAGTTCTTTTAGGAGCAGGAACAGAAGACTCCAAAATTAAGCCTGAAGACAGGGCAGGGTGGACAGCAGCAAGGCGGGCAGGAAAGGCAACCGGAAACCCCATGGCCAAGACCAGCTACGTCGCCCAGGAGGAAATGTGTGGTTTCCTGAATTGTGCCCGTTCAAAGCCTTCAAACTTTGAATCATGACATATGTAAACCATGTCAGGGGCCCACAGCCAGCCTCTGCCACATTTGGGGGTTGTTCTTAAGAAGATATTTACATGATCGGGCTCCTCTCTCCCTACCACTATTTCCAGAGGGAATAAGAAGTTGGAGGCAGCTGTGGCAGGAAAAATGAGGCTGCCGAGAACTGCAGTGGCTACACTTCAGAAGAATGACCCGTGCACGGGAAGGGTTCTTTGGCTCGTATCCATTCAGCCTCCTCTGGACACTACAGGGGACTCCAGGAAACTGAACCCCCTGAAATCGATGTAAAGTGTGTGTGTGTGCACCTGCCTAAGGGGAGACATTCTCATGTCTTCTGATTGTAGGGCCTGCTCCTCCTTCCCCTCCATGAACTCAAGTGGGCCTCTTCTGAACCCATCTTTATTTGCTCAGAGCTGGCGCTGGGGATGAGAGGTGGGGCTGAGAGACAGAGAAGGTTCAAGGCAGGGGAACCTACCCGTGAAAAGCCTTCTTTTGAGCTAAGAGATGTGAAAGGCTTGGAGAGTGCCCAACATACAAGGTATAAAAGGACCCATAAATGTCAGTTCTTATTTTTATTACTGTACGCCAAACACTTCATGTTTTCTCAAACTCACAACAACCCTATGCAGTCAGCCTTCAGCCTAAGTCTCACATTCTATTTATGAAGAGACTGAGACTCAGAGAGGTTAAGTAACTAACCCAGGGTCACACAGCTTTGGTGGAGTTCATAACTATCTTAATTCCAAAGCATGGCTTCTTACCCTCCACCCCATGGCCTGAATTACTAGCCAGGCCTTCAGTCCCGAGGCAGCCTCTCTCATCTAAAGCCCAGGGGTCCTGCTTTTTCCCTGACTGTCCATTAGAACAGGCACAGAGCCAAAAAAATGAGCCTCTTCAAGCCAAGGCATAATCTACTTGCTTGCGTAATATGGCCTCAGTCATCCCACTCAAATTCCGGGCGCTGCAAGCCAAGGTATTGGATGTTAAAGAAAGAAACAAATCGCATTTATCACAGTTAACTCCCCCGCTTTATGATGCAGCCAAGTCAGAGGCCAGAAGGGAGAGCTGTTTTCTACTGGTCCCGGCTACAAGTGTGAGAAAGCAAGCCAAGGATACTCTTTTCTGGTTCCAAACATCCACGCTAAAAACTTCAACTAAACATGGGCTCCGCTAACCCCCTTCGGTCCTATGAGAGTCGCCGCAGTGGCAGAGGCTGAGCGCTTCCTACACGCCTGCGCTGGGCACCTGTCCTTTCCGAGCCTCAAAAGAGCCGACCACGCAAGTCCCTCAGGGTCCACGGCACTGAGCAGCAGAACCAGGCTGGATCCCAGGCCTGTCTGGTGACAGCAGCAGTGCGGTTAACCCTGCCCTTCCCACTTCCCACAAGTCTACACAGTCCCGAGTCGTGGTACTTTCTCGCTTCCCTGAAACCTGGCCGACCTCTTGGGAGGAGGAGCCGGGGAAGCAAGACAGATGGACTCTGTTGACAGGAGATCCGGGTTCGAGACCCAGCTCTGCCACTTACTGGCTCTGTCACCGCTCAGTTTCCCCACCTTTGTGATGAGCTGACTGTTACATCACGCCGTCTAGGAGAGAACGGCCTCGGGCTTACAGCGCTGGGCAATCGTGTTCCCTTCACCCCTGGATACCTGCTAAGTCAAGAACACGAGGTGGGGCCTCCCTGGGCCCCCCTTGGCTTACTCAGCGCTCTCGGCACCCACGGAGCAGCACTGCCACCCCTCGCGCCCGCCTCCGGTGACTGCCGCCCGGTCGCCTCCCATTCGCGGTTTCCTCGCCCCTCCGGGAGGACCGGTCCC